TTTTTTTTCAGTTATGGAAAATGTCAGGAACGGCTTTTCAATTCTGATCTTGCACACCTCAGTAGGCAGTGGAAACTGAGTCAGTGTCAGTTTTTGCTTTTAAATACTGCTCTAGTGACTGGTTAGCTATGGATATGGGAGCAGGTTCTGAGGGAGAAGAGACAGTGACCCATTTCTTAACAGCTGTTGATGGATTAATGAACAGAGTATAGGAGACTTCTTTCCTTGTGGTTGGCAAAGTGTCTTTTGCATCAAAGCAAAATCCACATAGAGAAACAATGTCTGCTGATTGTTATCTGTCATTCTGAATTCTTGAAGAAGTAGCTTTTCATGAATGCTGGAAATTCAAGTCTGATAAGTGAATATTTTGGTATGGTAATTTTTGGCATAATGTTTGATTGCAGCTCCCAAGTGAGTTTGCAGTTCAAATGCTTCACTGCTACTTGAGACTTTCCACAGCATCTCCAGATTTATAAGTCTAAATATGAAGTTACTGCTGTGGTGGTATCTATTACTTGTACAGTTTCATTGCTTCAGAGCATACCAGCATGAATTCTTCCAGAATACTGCAATTCTCCATAATAAGATATCTGCATAGATTTTTTTCAATACTGTATGTTCAGATGTATGCAAATTTTTCTTTTTAGGAAACCTCAATGTTATTCACAATGAATAGTTTTAATCCTCAGGAAACCTATTTGCTTGGCTGCTTTTTTCTAGGTAATGGGGGAGTTTGTTTTCGTATGAAATTGCTTCTGAGTGTCCTCTCTGTGAAGAAGCCTGACTCTGCTTGAGAGAGGAGCCTGTTCAGACTCCCTCTGTTGACAGTAAATAAAATTTTCCATGAGAGTGGAATTCTTTCTGTAAGATTTTTAGGTGCAAAAGGATAAGATTTGAGGTTTCATTGCTGCTAGAAATTCAGGTGCAATTTTGTAGAATGAAGAAATTGTTACTCTATTTTAAGAGGTGCTGCTGAATTGCTTTGCAATTCATCTGTAACAGTGAATGTAAGATTGTGAAATTTTGCTTTATCTGCTGCAGATAAAGCAAATCTAAGACTAATTCTACTGCTTTATGTTGGTTGACGCTTGACATTCTAGGTTTTTATTAATGGTTTCTTTTCTCCTTAGTTAATCCTTCAAAATCACTACTTTTCCCCTACACTCAATTGACTTTGCTTAAGCTCATACTGACTAAGAATGCAGATGCTCTTTATTTTTCAATATTCAAGCAGGAATTTCTGTGAAATTTGCAAGACTTGAAATCTTTGTGTGTGAACTGAATATCTCACCATTGTGATGCATCTGAAAAGCATGATCATTCTAGAAACTGGTTGTCAGATCAGTTGCTCTTTTTTGTGTGACCATACAATGGGTATGAGAGAAATATTTGGAAATATTAGTTTTGGTAGAACTGTACTTTTGAAAAAGTCTGATTTTTGAAAAGCAGAGTAGCAAGAGATATCACTGTTCTTACTTCTGATTTAGAGAATTAATAAGGAAAATAGTATCACCTTAATGTTAGAGATCCATATTTATATGCTTTCAGTTTGTGCATAACTGGTCTTATGAATCACAAGCCACAAAGTGTTAGAGAGTAAATTAACCAAAGTTTCTGATTCTGTATTTCATAAAGTAATAGTAAATCAAAATAAGCTAGATTGAATGCAATCTTAAACTATGTTCCTGTAAATAGGTCCTTGTTAGCATCAATGTTTTGGTTTATTTAATCTCAACTGTACTGTGACAAAGAACCATCAGATAAGAATGGCATATTTTAATAAATTCAATTTGAATATAATCAATGGATTTAGTGTATGAAAAATCAAGCCTCTATATTCTTATGTCCCCTTACTTACCTAACTTGTGTTTACACATCATATATAAACTTGAGAAGGAGAGTGTGAAGTTTAATCACTCTGATTATATTGAATGAGCAGGAGTACTGTAGTATGTAGTGTAAGATTTAATTGCAGCACATCTCTAAACATAGCATTTAGGGCTTTCTCTTCTGGATTCCTAGATACATAAGTAGCAGACATGTATGTGAAGTCTCCCAGATTGCAAACCTCCTATCACAAGTGCAATTTCTTTTGTTATCTAAAATGTAATTAAAATGCTGTAGTTTGCCTAGTACTGTTCTAAGTTCTAATCCCTTTAAAGGAAAAGGCAGCTTTAGCCATAGTATCTTGCCAAGATTCCTGCTCCCTCTTTGCTAATTCACACCCTTTTACCTTACTGGTTTAAATAAATACTTCAACTGATTTCTTTTGTGAAAATACAGCCCTTCAAAATTAGAATGGAAAGTTTAATGGCCTAAATACAGTTCAGTTCTATTAGAAAAGCTTGATTTATCTTCTCTGGTTTCTCTTTTTTTAATACTAGTATTTCCTTGTTATGCCCTTGGTATTTCATAGCTGTCCTTTTTAAGCACTGAAGCAATTAGTTTTGAGAAGGCTGATTCTTCAGGGTCCAGTGCTTTCCTGCCTTTCATTCGACGAAGCTGTACATTTTAATGAAGTTGTTTCATCTGTGTTGCCAAACACTAGAATTTTACTGCTTCAATTCTAATTATCTCTGCTGGCAAATGCTATGTTTTATTAAAGCTGTCGAGTGCACTGTTCATTAAATGTCCGCAGTCAGTGGTGCTGTGCACACAAATTAGATCAGCTTTACTCCTTGATAGATTATGAAGTTAAATATTTTTATATAAACCTCTAAAATTGAGTCTAACAGCAATCAGTGATAACTTAGATAAGTAAAGCATACCTGTATCTTCTTGGAACCTAATATCTTGTCAAAACCCATAATGGAACACATATGTTAAATCACTAGTAGTACAGCTGAGTATACCATTTATATGATTATTTAACTCATTAAGATACTATTTTCCTTCCTCAAGGTATCTCCATTGCATCTTGAATTCTAATTTGTATGTGTTAGAGTAAGATAAGTTTTGTTATTTATGCTTTGATGTAAGTGAAAAACATCAGTGCTGGTCTTCAGCAGAGGGTTGCAAAGTGCAATTGATGTCCATTAAAAGCAAAAATGGCTTCACTGAAATGTTACTAACCTGGTGAATCTGAAAGGTTGTTACCATAAACAACTAACAGCTTCTCTTCTAACTGTGTATCTGAAAGGGGAATTGTACTAGAAGATGTTTATTTCAAACATATGAAGCAGTAATAGAAATACTGTGTTTGCAAAGAAAATATTTGAGCCAGATCTCATTTTGACATTTGGGGATTTTTTTTGCTTTTGTTAATTTTATGTTTTTAGTACATGTATCACTATCCTCAGTAGTGGAAATAGTCATTCTTGCTATTTAATGTATTGTTTTCTAGGTGATCATTAGGAGAATCAATAAGATATTGTGATGATAGACTACCAGATAATAACACTATCTTATGACAATAATGTTTTTCTTATGTTTCAGCTATCTGTAGGAAAATAAATTCCAAATTATTTTTAGTACCATGGCTTTATGGTGTCTCTTTCCTGTATTGGTTACCTTACCTTTGAGGAACCTGGTGTTTATACTTTCCAACTTTGCTTTTGAATTTATCAGGCTGTATTTCAAACCTTCAGAGGAACAGATATTTATTGTGTTCTTTATGGAAATCATAAATAACATCTCAAAATGCTGTATAAAATAAATAGAATTTAAGAGCTCTTATATATATATTTTTAAGGCTTAGGTAAGAAACGACAGTCCTTCAAAAGTCTGTGAGGCACTCTTCCTTGTCTCTTCTTATGATCTATTTTAGAGCACTTTATTATGAATATAAAATTCATATAACATGAAGCTGAATAGGAGGCTGTGTATGTTTATGTATTTAATTTTCTGTTTATATTATACCTTAATATATATATTTCATGGTATTCGTAGGAAATAATGCGTTTTATTTTTTCAGTGCAGAAACAGAAAATATTCCTTTGACAGTATTCAAGATCTGAAGTGATTTTTGCCATCTGAAATGCTTACCTTCAGACCAGTTTCATCACGTTCAACTTTAAATTTTTTTCAATTGTTGGACAGGAGATGGACCCTAATAAATGGTGTATTCTGTGGCAGTGAAGTAGTTGAGCAATACCAATATACTGAGAGATCTGGTGGGAAAGGGATGCATGGAAGTTACCTAAGTGCATGTGAGAAACCTGTGATGCATGAAACATGACAATTTTTTCTTAGTTGTTATTTTCACTTTGGATGTATGTATCTATTTGGCTTTGACAAAAATTGGACAAAATATTTCCTGAACCTTCTAGGGAGATTTGAAAAATACTCAGGCTTATATTTACATCTAAACCCAGATTTGTCAAGGCTTTTCCTATTTTGGTTCTTGGAAATTATCTGAATTATTACTGTCCCTCATGTATGCATAAATGCATATTGATTGCATTGCCTTATCCACCCTTTCCGGTCTGAGTGTGCAAAATGTAGTGAATATAACAGAAGAAAACAAATTTCTTTATAAATCTTGGTGCCTTCCTCTTCTCAGTGTAGTCTCAATAATTGCAAAAAATCGCTGAAACAATATTCAAACATAAGAAAGACATATAAAAAGTGGTGAAATTCAATACAGTCATAAGTCTTTAATGTGTCTGTGAAATTATGAATGTATACAAAGAAAAACAGCAAAAAGACTTATGGTGGGGTTATTAACCTGAGACTGAAAAGAGTAACGATAATGCCATTAATAAAGGAAATTTCATGCAAATGGAAATATTTTTAGTGCTGAATATATAGAGATGAGATTGATAAAGTTCTTTTAAAATAACATAGGAGAAGTTTTGGTCTAATGTTGTAGAACAGGATCCCTGAAATTGATGTTATCTACTAAGATATTTGGCTGGTTTTACGGTATTTTAAATGTTGAATTTTAAGGGATTGAGAAAGTACTGCTTTTGTATTACCACATTTTTTAAGGCGGTAGCCTTCTAACCTTGCAAAAGGAATACTAGATTTTTTTTTTTTACTGTTTTGTTTTGTTTTTGCAGAGGTACCAGGACAGTATACTTGGGAATACAATGAAAACTGTAATTGCCTTACTAAATAATATTGTTGCTAACAGTATGAACATGATGATACTCTTTCAAGAAGGTATGTCATCTTTATCTTTATTCTCCTTTATTCTCAAATGTTTCCCAGTGTGTAGTGTCTGGCACCGTGTGAAACTAAACTTCTATCTATTTATATTTTGTGGGGGTTGTTAGATAATCACATTGTAGCTGATGTCCTCCTCATCACTTCTTCTTCCTTCCTTACCAATTTGAATACAAATTTAACTTTTAGAAAGTTGTTCTTCCAAGAAAATGGACTTACAAAAGAATTACCAACTGAAAATTACATTTTGTCTGTGAAGAATGGCTTGGGATAGAAGGCATGGACTAGAGTACTGACCATAACGGTGCAGAGTGTAGAGAGACTTCTGCAATTCTTCCTGTTCTCACTGGTTATAGCTGTGAAAGGATAAGTTGTACAGTATTTGTGCATACTTTTAAGAAAATAGCTTCTGTTCCAGTCCAGCGATGTAGACTAATGGGTTGAAACCCAAGCTGACTATAAAGTCTTAGTCTACAAACCTTTGCATGTCTTCATGAAATGTTTACCACCTAAGATGGGTAATAAAACACAGGCACAGGTTGCCTGGAATGTGGTTGGTGCCCTATCCTTGAGAGCATTCAAGGTCAGGTTGGGCAGGGCTTGGAGCAACCTAATCTAGCTGAAGATGTCCCTGCTCATTACAAGAGGTTTGGACTAGATGACATTTAAAGGTCCTTTCCAACCCAAACTGTTCTATAATTCCATTATTCATTTCACTGTGTTTTATTATCTAGGCTTCTTTTATTTAGAAATTGGTTCTGAAGGAAAGGTTTCTGCTATTGAAAATCTATATAAATGTCATGGTTTGATGCTGGCGCAATGCCAGCACCCCCATGAAAATGCACCTTCCCTAGATAAATGCTGTGAGATGCAATCAGGAACAGAGCAGAGCAGGCCCAAGCTTAGAAATAAAGGAGAAAGAACTTTATTAAGCTACAACTACGATAACAGACACACACTAAATCCAGAATTAAAACCTTCCAAAACATTCCTCCTCCCCCCACCTAAACTCCAACAAACCACAGTGAGACACTACTTGGACCCTCAATCAAGTTACTACCCTTCAGATAATCAATACTCAGCCATCAAGGGAGAGAGGAGTCTCTCTTGCACCATAGACCCCAGGAAACACAATTGCCATCTCTTGTGTTTCCATGTCACACATGGCACCACCCAGAGAAAATCTGCCAGTGTGACACCCTCCTTTCCATGTCACTGTGGTCTCACCACTGGGCATGGACCAAGACTGCTCATAGGGCTCCTTTAAGGATGCTTTAAGGATGCTTTGCCAAGGACCAAAAGAAACAACAGTTCGGTTTCTCATTTTGGGATCACAGTCGCCTCCATTTTCCCCCTCTGGGGCCAAGGGTCTCGAGAACAGAGATCATCTTCTTCCTGAAGACAGAGGGCATCACCACACCCTCCTCAGCTTTCCTCTGTTCACTCCATTCCTGTGCGGGTAGTCGCTGAAGGTCTCTTGGCTCACCATGCATCCCCCTAAAATCCAGTCACTCTTGGAGGAGAAATTGGTTCAGTCTATGGTTAACAAGAAAAGTCCAGCCAAAAGCCACTCCATCATCTCCCCCCAGCCTTCTTTTCCTAACATCTCAGGTCCCAGACTGTCTCTTTTCTCTTTCAAATCGAGGAGGAGTAATATTTCACAAAGCGCTCATTCCCCAGGAAAGGGTTAAAAGTCCTGACTCCCCGGATGGGCTGAAATCTCAGCCCAGGACTCCATCTCCCACACTGGGCACCTTCCCCTGCCGCTTCTTCTCTGCGGGCAAATTTCCGGTGTCTTCAGGCTCTCTGTTTCTTTCCCTCTAGGTTGTGGGGGGAACAAAGACATCTCAATTTCTCTCCATCCTTCCATCTGCAGGAGCTGGCCTGGTTACAGTCCCTTCAGCCCTTGGCCCACCTCTCCAGGCCGCATGGCTTCCCCTCCCAGACGTGGATGGGCCGGGGAGAGTGCACCCTCTGATGACCAGAACCAAAGAGACAGTTCTCCTGGGAGTTCTTACTTTTAACCTCCTGTGTTCTCAGAGGCGTGTCCATACCTTCAGTGGTCACTCCAGGTGCCAGTATCCAAACCTGACCACTGATTGGTTTGACTCCAACTTCCTAAGAAAATTCACTTCTGTGTCAAACCACAACAATAAATTACGAGCTTGTTTAGAGACATACATTTTGATAGCATTTCTTCTGTTTATCATGAATGGGTGAGTGACATCTAGCAATACAGGTCTATGCTACCATTTGTACTATTTATTGGTACTCATACCAGCCTATGAATCCATCAAAGTGGGTAGCAGAAATCATGTTTTCATTTTCATAATTAGCATAGTAGTTAAAACACTGACCCAGAAAGCAAGAGAGCTGAATTAATGAACCTTTCTAGTCTTAAGCAATTGAATGGGCAATGCCATTATTCAGGAGACAAACTGGAACTTGACATTGTTGCTAAACACCATGTTCCTCTCCTCTGTTGCAAACAGATCCACTCTGAAGTTAGTGGTGTATTAGTGGAGAACAGAGCCAGGAAAAAAAAAAGAGAAATAATGGAATAGTATGACTAATTTGGAAAGCGCTGGTTCATAGGATTCTGATTATTTGGTTATTTCTCACCAAACTGCCTATCACACTTAGAACTGCTTGGAGTTTCTTGGGATTTAGCTGTATGTGGTGCTTTTACTATCTTTAGGCACATCTGCTCTCTGTCAGGCAAAATCCTAAGTTGGCATTGACCTGAGCTGCAGCAGGGTAACTTGTTAAAACTGCGTAATGCAAAGAAGTTTGTTCAAGTCCCACAAGCACTGTAACCACATAATTGGCATGCCTTACTTAAAGTAATACACCTCTGCCTTTCTGTGTGGCAAATTAGGTGCAAAACTGTTCAAGAGCATGGCAGAAATGCCTCCATTCCCTAAATATCTCTTCTTTTACTCTTCTACAGGGCAAACTCCTGTGTGCGTTTTATGCTGCTGGTAGTATGTCTGTGCTCTTTCACTTCTCATCTGCTCCAAAAATAAAACACATCTCTTCAATCATGCTAGTTTCCAAATTAAGGAAGCAGGATAGAAATAATATTAAAGTCTTTTTCTTGCACTATGTCCTAATGACTCCAGTAATATTTTCAGACTAATACTGATTAGATAACAGTAACTTGGGCTCACTGAACTTCAGCAATCACACTAGAGAAAGCAGCACAGCAGCCAAAAATAATTTATCTCAAGTGAAATGTCCTCATCTTCTCTCATCCCTTTTCCCCACTGGGTAATCTTCAGAGTACTGGAAGCCTGGATTTTGGCCAGTGCTTTATTGATTTAGGGCCTAATTGTCAAGTAAAGAACTTCTAAAATTTGGTTGGCCAAGGATGTTACGAGTGTTGATCTTGTAATTTCAGACTGTTAGATTTTTCTTTGAATTAAAAGGGGAAAGAAGTTATTCTGTGCTAACTGGAGGGCTTTATATCATTTGTGTTACCATCTGTAAATATATAGTGTTCATATGAGGAAAATACCTTAAAATTCTACTGCCATATCTCTGGCATTTGACTTCTCATTTTTAATAACTTTTGTGTGATGGAGAAGAATGCAATCTAGTAAAATGAAAACTGATCTTCCTCTTGCAGAAAAATATCCTGGAGTCCAAATAGAAAAGTTGGACATGAGTCAGTAGTGTGCATTTGCAGCCGTCAAGGCAAAAGAGGTCTGCGATGAGAAAGAAAAACTGAAAGATTGAGGAAAGTGATTATTTTCCTCCATTTATTGTAGTGTCTAGTTTTGAGCTCCAAACAGTAAGAAAGACATTGACAATCAGGACCAAGTCCAGAGAAGGGCAACCAAGATATTTAGGAGAGTGGACCACTTAATGTGTGTATTTTCAGACTCTGCTGCGCTATTATATGAATGTATTCTTTCCCAAGTGCAGAGCTTTGTGTTTGCCTTTGTTAAACTATAAAAGGTTTCTGGCAGCCTTTTTTTTTGAGCTCTTCAGTTTCTTGAGTTCTTTCTGAATCCATCAATCCTTCATCACATCAGCTGCTTTCTGTACTTTAATGTCATCTGTAAACTTGCTGAACATGCATGTTAATACATCCTATTAACACTATGTCTGTGATGTTAATGAACGTATTCAATATTCATGAGCTATTCTCCTCTGTTAAACAAAACCTGAAGACAGATTATTATGATCAATTTCATAATTTCATCAATTTCCCTTATTTCCCTGTTAACAGTGTGATAATTAATTCATGTATATATGGAGCTTTAGAAATTAAAAACCATAGATACTTGCTGAACATTAGAAGGAACTCAGGTTAGGTGGTCAGTCCTATGAAGATTTTTGTATCTAAGAGTCAAGGCATTAGCAATGAAGATTTCTTTCTGATTTTGTGCATGCCTTTCTTCAGCTGCCAAGAAGCTGTGTTTTTGCAGACAGATCATTTAGAGACCCACGTCATTGTTTTCTTTTGTGCCTGTTAGCCTTCAGAACTCTCACTTGCTCAAAGGAATGGTGTGAGGTGATAGATTTTTTTAAAGGGCTGCAACTTACAAGTTGAACTTTCTGCATTACTACTTCTGTGATTTCCTGTTATTAAAAATTATATGATTGTGTATTTCAGCAACTTTCATAGAAGGTGGATTGCCTGGTATTAATTTCTCTCTTCCCTGAACTGTGTTCTTTTGTATTAAAATACAATCAGACATGTACTGATAACCACTTAAAATGTTTAAAGGTGAAATGGAGAATAACATATGCAACTGAAGTCACAGAGGGAATTTAAAATGGCCTGTACTTGTGTTATCAGCTATTAAACATTTGTTCTGTTAACATTAATGACAATTTCTACTTAATAATCAGGAGGGAATAATATGATTCAGTTTAATTACTAAGACTGGAATTCAGTAAGGAGAGTAGGATTAATATAGGGTCCCTTGTGAATAGTTAAGGAAGGATATTAAAAAACCAAGACAATTGTGGTCATTTTCAGGAAGATC